CTCTGTATACAGGAAAAGACAAAAGTAACATTCATTACAAAATGTTCATCACCAAAAGCAAAATAATTACGATTCAACTGTTAAATTTTGAACTAGTGTCTTAATCAGCTTAATAACTGATTTAATTTTAAAATTTATGGAAATAAACAAAATGGCACTAGTTAATTAGGTGGAGAAAAATAAATAAGAAACTGATTGATATGTGGTGGAAAATTGTAATTTTTTTAATTGAAACTCAGTAGGATTAATTAGTAATGAAAGACTTGTAATTTATATGAAATTATAAACTAAAACATCATAGTCATCGTTATGTAAAAAATATTTTTAAAATATAGATTCAATTTGGATATAAATTAATTTGGCTTAAATATAAAAATGATCTTTTTATATAAAAGAACTAATTTAATAAATTCTTACTACTTCACCGTGAATTAATAAATATGTCTGATATATTATTACGACTTTTGGGCTGAGTAGAACCGCACGAATTATGAGTAGTCAGTTCATAATTTCATATTTGATTAGCTACGGGGATGCACGGACATACATCACGCGTGCACTACAGCTTTTAAAATTGACTCCTTTGGAATTAAATAAGATTAATTTTGAGTCATTATATACGTAACACTCTTTGATTTATAAGAAAAAAAAGAGAAATTGCAGGTTTGTTAAAGCAAAAAGCTTTCATTAATATTACTTTTTAAAATTAAAATCTTTTTATTTTTAGTAATTCTGTTTTTAATGGGATAACAGAGGGGCTCTGTTAATAGTAAGAAAAAGGGGCCCCTGTTCCTATTTTGATGCATGCTTAGTTAAGGGGACAGCTATTACGAAAATTGTGTGCCCATTAACATGAAACAATTATTCATGGATACAGTCATACTCATGAAATCGTCATTATCCTGAAGGTGAGCATTCTTCAACAAAGATTCCACCTTTTTTGCCTTTCATGGACAATCTACTTATCAAATGACATAGATAGAGCCTTGTTTGATAGGGTGAACAGAGGGTGAGAAGAAGAAGAAGAAAATTTAATTTAATTTTGGAAACATTATATATCACACTGTAATACACTTAATTAGAATCAATTGTATTTAATTGCTAATTGATTTCTGATATTTCCTACATGCAGAAGTTATCTTGATAATAAATTAAATGGAGGTTGGGGTCCATATTGAGAAAGTGAAGAAACCCAGTCCCTCTCCCAAGGGTTTGTGTGATGTAATGTGATGGGTGTGTTTAGAGGGCCATGATACGTATTCGTTGTGTTTTGGATTATTCTCGTAAATTTTGTTTGATTTGAAAAGTGTGTGGACGTGTGGCGTTACAGAAACAACGTTTCGTGTTGGGCTGATGGTGTCAATTCGGGAAGGACATGGCCATGGACGGTTTGCGGTTTGACATTCCAAAATGGGGATTCAATCGTATTTCATATTTTCATAAAAAAAGAAAAGAAAAGAAAAGTGTGCTTCTCAAAAAAATTATTTATTCAGTTCGTATATGACCAATTTCAAATGATTTTAAAAATAAATCACCAAAAAATGTGCTTCTAAAAAACTTATTGGTTTAAAGTGATTTTTACTGCATGTTTCATAAGACAATATGTGAGTATTATATATTCTGTTTGGAACATTCATAAGTATATATTCACATAATATTTACCAATGGTTTTTAGTATTAGGGTTTATAGAATTTTTTTACATGATAATAGGGTAATAGAATGAAGGTAAGAAAAAGGGTATACTGAATATATGTATTTATTTATCAAGTGGTACGAACAGAGTTTTAAAAAAAAGTGATGTCAAATTGTCATTATTCTAAAACATAGCTTATAATTCAAGAAAGATGGAGTGCTACATGTAATGGGAAGCTTATTGAAATAATAAAAAAAAGGATTGGGAGGTTCGCGGGCATTTAGAAGTTTCAAAACTCAAAAGCCACAACCCAAGCTAAGGACACAAATTAGGCCTCGTAAGAAAAAAGTGAATGAATGTTGTAGAAAAATCACTTGAAACTCAAGGAAGGAATTTATTATTTTTATGTTTATGCATATGAGTTAATTTTATAAACTCCCTTTGCTTTTTAATTAGCCATATAATAACTAGGATTAACACTGCCACGCTATTTACCTTGTTTAGTTATGCATACAAAACTTGTACTCTACGACAGCTTTAAAAAAAATCTTGTACTTTACGAACAAATATATGTCATGTGGCAAAAGTACAAAGAGTAATGTGCCACCAAACGGTTCCACATCAAAAAACAAAATTCTAACAAACAGTTTCATTTTTATATATTCTCCTCCAACCAGGTGGCTCAACCTTACCTTTTAAGATTATTTTTTCATATGATAATTGGTGATTTCCCTGTTGAACTGTGCTCAAACGTCCATGGTCATCCACATTAATTAATTCATAGATGCTTCAATTTAAAATTAAGTTAATTAGAAGGTACTTATTAGTTAAATAATTTAAGAGGATGCATAACAGTGGGGTTTATAAGGAAGAGTCTTCACAGTTTCAGATTTGGCAACCACCACCTTTGAGAGTTTATTGATTCTGCAGAGATCTCATTTCTTATAATTTCATTTCACAAAACATAGTCTGTTGGGAATATTTTTTTGATAATTATAAGTGTAAAAGCAACCTTAACTTTTTTTATAAAAGAAAAAAAAAGAATAAAGGGACCAAGAAAAAAGTTCAAAGCAAAGAGCTTTTGGGCATGGCGCTTATGGAAGTTACTTTGAGATATTAATAACTCACGAAGCCATGAATCGAAATAATTTGAAGTTGTAATACTACATGGTAGTTTTGAGCAATATGTTACCTCTTTCATTTGAGTTTTATTTAATAAAAAAAAAAAACAATTACCTTTAATCTTTGGCATTCCATTTTTGCTGCCACAAGTAATGCTAGATAGAGAATTTGTAGAGTAAAAACAACAGCATTAAATCAAAGAGAGAAAATAATTGCAATGACTAAAAGTTTAGATGCAATAATAGCTAATGCTATAGTCAATTGTGCCTAACTGCTAATTAAATTGTCTACCTAGCAATTTTAATTTAAAATTCACATCAATTGAAAGAATTCTTAATGGCACCCACATTTTATGACCTTTAGTCCTTTACTGCCTAAACCATACGTCATTTAAGTTGAACAAATGTGGAGGGTATATTAGTCATTAAAAGGTCTAAAAAATTAGCATAGGTAGAGTAGTACCTGATTGTAGACTATGAATACCAGCGAGGCGCCAAACATGCAACGATAAAATATAATAAAAGAAACGATAACTCCTTCTAAAGTTTCTACCAAACTACCGAAACTAACGACCACACATTCCTACATATACCGGTAATAATTCGCCACCACAGTACTACCATAACATGTGCCACCATTAATTATACCAATTATCATTATTTTTTATTGTCTATTCAATAAAAAATACTATATATTAAAAATATATTTTAAAATTTTTAAAAATCTCAATTTTGCTTATACAAAGCATTTTCTTTTACGATTAGTGTTAAGTTATCAAAGTCAAATAATATCACTGACCTAACATGCCTACTTTTTAAAATCTGAATAAATAAAAAGTTTAAGAGAAAAGAAGTTCCTCTATTCTTCATTCACTAATACTACTTATTAATGTTATTAACTGATAAGATAAAATAACTTTACAATTATTAAATTCAACTCTTACTCGTAATATACCAGGTGGTCTGATAAGGACCATCCTCTTTCTTTTTATTAAAAAAAAAAGGGAAAATGATCGATGTTAAAGAACAAATTAAATTCTCTCTTTTTTTAAAGCATAAAGTGTTTTTCACATAAAAGAGCCAAACTACTCTTACTTAAAACTTCAATATTTCCCTATAACATATTTGGTTTAATTGAATGTTTTCAAAGAAGTTAAAAGAATTAAACATTTCTTTTAAAAATTGAATTAAACATATACTTAGACAAAAAATTATCAAAACAACGTTTTCAATTATATATATAATCAAGAACTGATTTTTAATTAACATGTTTATAAGCATATTTAGACGGAGTTATTTTTAAATATTATAACTTGATTGATAGGAAAAGTTAGTCTGACCATTTAAATGTATTATTTATTTAGATTAGGATCTTACTAATAAGTCATTAAAGGGTATTGACTAAAAAAATTAACAAATTAAGGTACATTAAAAATTATGATAGAATTGTATTAATAACATTTTTAATAAAAAATACTTTTATTTTCTTAATTAATGTCTTAAGAACACTAGTTAAAACTTACTCTTAGATTATAATATTGGATTATAAAATCAACAAAGAAAATATCTTTTTTATGATTACAATGCTTTTGAAGATTATTATTAAAAACTAACAAATTATCATTAAAATCAAATAAAAATAACTTAATATATTTTTTTATCTAATTTTAAAGCTGATAATTATATGATTAAATCTGCTCATATAACTAAAAGAAAATTTTTGGCATTGGATGAAAATCAGAGAGGGCGTTGGTAGATAACTTTTGTAAAAAAACTGGGAATTTGTTTCTGTAAATATTTTAATAATTTGATTAACAAAAGAATAATATTTTAAAAAAATTCTTTACCAAAAAAAACTAACTTAAATAAACAGGATAATTGATGTTTTAAAATAATAGTAGACAAATCCAATTTATTTTTTGTACTGTGAATATTACTCATACAAAATTGAGATAATTATATTTAAAAGGAAGAGTTAACTGGCACCATGAACTGTCTTTATGTATTACACATGTGGTATACAAATATAGAATAAAGTATCTTCACATTTATATTTGGCTAGTAGTTTGGGTGAAAAAAGAGAGATAAAAAAGAAAGGAAGAATGGTGAAAATAAATGTAAAACAAAGTAAGATGTAAAAATATAAATATAAAAAAGTATAAAACACGAATTTAAAATAGAAAAACTATATAACAATTTAATAAACAGCATAGATAAAGGTAGTGTAGGAGATTCGTTTGTCAATAATTATTACTTGAACGTTAACCAAGAGTGTTTGACTAGTTTGGCAAGGAGTTTTGAAAGAGCATCAGAAAATGTTACAGTTCGGCAATTGAAAGTTGAGTTAAGAAACTGTCTCAACCAACAACTGCACTTTCTCTCTCTATCTCTACATATCTATATGAACAATTGAACATTGTCCTGTGAGTTATAACTGTTGCTTAACGCCACTCCCAAACCACTTAACTTCTACCTTTACTCTTAACCTTTTCTGTTTCTTTCTGTGACTAAGCAAATGGAAACTCCTCCTCCATCTTCACCACCCGATGCGGCAGAGCCTACGCCGGTGGCCGTACGGAGAGCTTTGGAGTTGCTCCAGCTGAACGACCCCGTTTTGAGGGTCGAAGCCGCTCGGGACATTCGCCGCCTCACCAAAACCTCCCACCGTTGCCGCCGTCAGCTCCGTCAAGCCGTTGCGCCACTCGTCTCCATGCTCCGAGTCGACTCGCCCGAGTTCCATGAACCAGCTCTTCTCGCTCTGCTTAACCTCGCCGTGCAAGACGAAAGGTACGCTGTTCTGTTTATTTAGCTTCCTAACTCTCTTATTTTTTGAAATAAAATTTTGTGGGTGTGTATATATTAAAGAATTGATGAAGGTTAATTGTAATTTTTTTATTGGTTGAATTTGCTTGTTGTGGTCTTTTTTTTTTTTTTTTTTGGGATCAGATATTTTCTTCTTTGTGGTTTTTATGTGAATAATTTTGGTTTTATTATTTTCTTGTAATTCTTCATTCGATGTGCATGTCATAAAACATTTGGAAAGCATGGAAGATAAAGTTGGGAATTCGATATGAATATGCAATAAATAATTCCAATTTGGTAAACCTGTTGGTATAGAATATATTTATACATAGTACAAAACTGAGGATTTTTTTTTTGTTTGATTGGTGGGAAATACAAGATATTTTTGGTAGAAGAGTTGTGTGTGTTTTGTGTTTTTTTTTTTTTTTTTTTTTTTTGTGATCTTAGGAATATATTCGTCAGAATGATCGAATTGGATGAGTTTTATCCTCATTCTCTAGGAAGAAGAAAAAGAAAAACAATTTTTCATGGCATAGAATTAGAATGCAAAAGTACGTTGGTTGAATTGATGAAAAAAACAGAAAAGAGAAAAATTTAGTTGATAATTAATTTGCCGGTCATATTTTTCAATTTTAATGCTTTTGAACTTTTTTCCCTTGTAGTGATATTGATTTATAATTGATTCTTGTAGATTGGTTGAGTGCATACCCTGTTTAACAAGAAAAAATTCGATGCTTTGACAGTAGAATCTTATCAGATTGGAGGGTGGTTTTTCTTTGGTTCATATGCTGCACTTTACCTTTTGAACTTTTTTTTTGCCTATCTTCTTTGTATAAAATTAACTTGATATCATTTGTTGGCGAGGACCTAATTTCACTTTGCTTATATTTTTTAATTTTGCTGCCACTGCTGCTAAAAGTTACGCTGGTTTTACATATCAATATAGATCTGTCAACGAGAAATAGTAAACGTAATTCAAACAAATGAGACACGATTTTGCTGGGGTTCATTTTTTTTATTTACATCGTTATAATATTTCCTATTTTTAAAATGTCAGGAACAAAATAAATCTCTTAAAAGTACATATAAAAACTATAAACTAAAAATAAAAATGAAAAAAAAAGGAAACTATCAACTTAATCACTTAAAATCTATAAATGCGAAAATTCTGGTAGTTATTATCCTATTTAACTTTCTTTCAAGTTTGATTGTGAGCAAACTGTGGAGTCCACCTTAAAAAAATATTAGTAAGCTGTGGGCTCTTGTTTTAATATTTATTTATAGAGATGGTTCATGTTCCTTCCTTCAATACAGTGTTCAACCACCGAATGGTTTTTCATTTAACCCAAATTTTCGTACTCTTCTCATTAAGGCTACGCTTGTGCTCGTAGCTGGAATGGAACATAAAGATGGAATGAAAACAAAAATGATGTAAGATAAAATAAAATGTTTTGGTTTTACTAATTGTTACTTGGGTGAAATCACTTCAGACTGTACGAGTGGCCAACATTTTATGGCGAGGATAGAACATTTGAACTCCACTTTTTTTCTTTACATTTTTGTTATACCAAATAAGTGTGAAATGATTTTCAATTTAAAATTATCACCTCTCTATTTTCCATGTAGTCAAATAAGCATAACAAAAAAATTGTACTTTTTAGGTTGTGTTTTGATTCCTGATTACTTTTAAAATACTAAATGCTTTTGAGAAGAGAATACCACACTTTTATGTGTTCTCTATAATCAAATTTCCCTTCTTTCTCTTTTTTGGGTCCCTGTGGGGGTAGGGGTTTTGATAGTTAATATATATCTAATAATGGATAGATTGTCGGCTTCATAAATGAGCTATAATCAAGGAAAATTTCTGTCATATTCAACCTTAGCAAGAAATAAAATTATAATATACTCTTGTCGTCGTCATAAGAATGTAAATCAGGGGAAATAATGTTAATCAGGCTTAAATATGTGCTCTTGGTATTGTTTTCCCTTTGTAGCCTTGCATTTGCCTTACATATGAGGTGTGTTTTGAGTATATTCCAGCTTGTGATAGAAAATAATCTGATAGTGCCGTTAATTAGAGACTGTAATTTAATTGGAAAGAAAAATTAAACCTAGATTATGATCGCTTTTCCTGGTCTTTCTAGCAGTTAAGCATGCACTAAATAATGGTTTTTATGCATGTTTTATATCTTTTTCTCTTTATTACAATCATATTTCACTATAGTCTTTCCTTTCTTTCTCTTCGGATCAGAAGCTTCAGATTTAATGATGTTTAAATTTCTGCTGTATAATTTGTATGCATTATACGTATTCAGTCATATTCATCATTTGACATGGTCTTGTCATGCAGGAACAAAATTAACATTGTTAAAGCTGGTGCATTAGAGCCAATAGTTAGTTTCCTCAAGTCGCAAAATCCAAATCTGCAAGAGTATGCAACTGCATCATTGTACACTCTATCTGTCTCTCCCACCAACAAACCAATTATTAGTGCTTGTGGCACCATTCCTCTTCTTGTGAATATTCTTAGAGATGGAAGCCCGCAAGCTAAAGCTGATGCGGTAATGGCGCTCTCCAATTTATCAACACATCTTGATAACCTAAGCATCATTCTTGAAACAAATGCAATCACCTTTATAGTAAATCTTCTTAAAACCTGTAAAAAGTCCTCAAAAACAGTTGAAAAATGTGCTGCTTTGATAGAATCTTTGGTGGGTTATGATGAAGGCAGAACTGCCTTAACATCTGAAGAAGGTGGGGTTCTTGCAGTTGTTGAAGTTCTTGAAAGTGGCACCCCCAAAAGTAAGGAACATGCTGTTGGGGCACTGCTAACAATGTGCCAAAGTGATAGGTGTAAATACAGGGAACCAATTCTTAGAGAAGGTGTTATTCCAGGACTTCTTGAGCTTACAGTTCAAGGAACCCCCAAGTCTCAGCCAAAAGCACGTACCCTTTTGCAGTTACTAAGAGAGTCACCTTATTCAAGACCTGAAAATGAACCTGACACACTAGAGAACATCATGTGTGACATCATATCCCAGATTGATGGGGATGATCAATCTGGTAAAGCAAAGAAGATGCTAGCTGAGATGGTCCAAGTCAGCATGGAGCAGAGTTTGAGACATTTGCAGCAAAGGGCACTTGTATGCACCCCTAGTGATATGCCAATTACAAGTTGTGCTTCTGAAGTTTCTTCAAAATAATAGTTGGGGCTCTTCTACTTTGTATCCTTTTCCTTCTCTTTTTTAATCTCCCATCTCCTTTTTTTCCAGTTGGAACTAGTGAAAAAGAAAGAAAATTGAAAAGGAAAACGACACAAAAAAGAAATGCCAGTCCAGGCCATCATGGAGGTATCGAGTGACTGGTAATTGTTAATAAAGTTGTAACATGATAAGAACATGGAGTTCTAGTAGTTGTTTTGTGGGGCAAAAAATGTTGTATAAAATGATTTGCAAAGTAGCAAAGCATCTTCGTACGATTCTTCATCTCCTCTCCCCCAAAGGAGGGTCTCCTTTCTGTCGCTTTCAGTGCAAAAATTTTCAATTTGGGTGACACAGAATGCAACTTTTTTCATGGTTAATTAGATGGTGATGTTGATGGCGAGGGTTTCTAATTTGACTTGTCAAGTGAATCATTTTAGGATAAAAGGATTTTAAAATTAATTAAACTTAATATTTGATACTTTTAAATTTATTTTCCACGTATATTTAAAATTATTCGTATAGGATACGAAATATTTTTAGTATTTAAATTTTAAATATCAGGATGGTTTAATAAAAAAAAGTAATTGTTTCAAAAGGAAATTTCGTTTTTTTTTTCAAAAGATTAAATGATTTTATGTATATATGTGTTATAATAATCTGTGTAACATAAAGATATGGTCTACCATAAGAAATTATTGAGTAAACTTAGTTTAAGCAAGTTGTGTATATTAAAAATAATCAACAATTTATATATCATTATCTTATATTCAATAATTACATAACTTCATGTCCGACACAATTTGGTATTTTCTTTTGTGTGAAAAAAATTATGATGGGAGGATGGTGTCTACACATTTTAAGAGATGATATGTCAATTATTAATTGGTTTATTTGCACAATTTTTGTTGATAAGATATGGGCAAATCTCTTCGCATTTGATAGTAATATTAATGCCTGATGCTCAAAAGATAAAATGCACAAAATTGTAATTTAAAAATTAAATAACTAAATTTTGTATTATAAATATAATTTTTGTTCTTAAACGAATATAATTAGCATTTATTTTTTATTAAGTCACCAAGTTTTCCTATGTCTGATTTTACTTCCTTTTAATGTCTTTTAAATAATATTATTTAATTCCTATTGAAGATATCTTTCACTTTTTACATAAACCGAGTTTTATATCTGACCCAAGCCATTCTAAAACATACTAAAGCATGCAATTAAATTATACATGGTAGAGAGGGATAAGGCCACAAACCCTACAGAACTTGGTTTGCGATGATGAAATTTTTATTTTCTAATTTTAAACAAGCCTTGTAGCTCTTGCAGATTGCTTATATTCTTCCTGTTTCCAAGAAACAAATGATTGAGTCGATCTTGAATGTCAAACATCCCAAACTTAATATACTCATAAGCGTGCCCACCAAGAACATCATGGAACCTCCCAATAAAGTTTCCATATGCTGGCAACAAAACATTTTCCAGAGAGACTATTATTTGTGCCCTTAACTGCTTATCAAAGAGAAACCATGTAGACTGAACACTACACATTTCCTTAAACTTCTCGTTGAACAAACAGAGTTTATCTTTCATTGAATCTGCTGCGACATTAGCCACCAGTAACTCATTGCCGTCAAGCTTCAACAACTCCAACACCTTATTCCACGAGTTTTTTTTATAGAACTCAAGATTTTGTTGTACTCTAGCTTTAGTTTTCTGAAACCAATCATCGCTCAAAACGGTTCCCAATCCTTCCTCTTTTTCCATATCCTCTATGCAACTCAGATTATTCATAATGAAAAAATAGCGCAAAGCAACGTCCTTGTAATTCTTGATATTCACTGCTAATTTCCTCTCTAAACGCTCCACTATAAAATCCATCTGCGCAGAAAATGAGTAACATGTTTTCCTTCCATTAACAACGTTGGGGTATTCTCGTAAAATTTGCTCCAGTAACCGGCGTGACCGGTAAGCAGAAACGAGGTAGCTCCTAACATACCTAGTCACCGGATGAAGCCCGCCATTGGGTGGAACGAATACCATCTTAAACCGAAAAATCAGATACCCCAGTTCAATGAAAACGTCCCTGCTTGCTTCTCCCAACCTATTCCTTGTCGCAATTGCTTCATTCACCAACGACATAGGAAACAACGATTGAAACTCCGAAATTAGGTCACTTAATGTCCCAAACATGTCGAGAATTTGCCACAAACGCCACTTCGAAGTGCCTCCACTTGCAACCGTAGTCGCAAAATTCAGCATCTTAATTGTGGTTCCTCGACAAACCTCTGTGAAACAAGTATCAGCAATAGATTGAAACCCGTAGAAAACCCGATAACAGAGGTCCCTCTCACCGGGAAATAGTATCCTTATAGCAACCTCAAAAGCCTTTATCCATTTTCTAATCATGTAATCTTCGACATGTGCCTCCTCCACGTTGATCACTTTCAATCCTAACAAATTTCCAATTACGCCCTCTTCCAACCGTTTTCTTCTGCAAGTGCTGTACACTTCAGAACACTTCTTCTCCAATCCAATTTCCATCATCACCTTCACCTTTTCATGAAGATTATCGATTGTTTCCAACGGTAGCGTATCCATCACCAAGTTACAATCTAATTCAGTATCATAATCTTCAAGGTACTCCGAAAGCGTGTCGGTGAGATTCAAATCACTCTCTTCAAGTGCCTTAATACAATTCATAAGTTCTTGCATCATACTAGCCAGTTCCAATGGATCAACTTCAATAACTACTGAATGTTCATTTTCGATTACACGATGCTCACCGTGTGGCGTGGCTAAGGAGAAACGAAGACTAATTAGCGCGTAACTGAAACACGCTCCAATTATGCCTAATAGCAGCTTAATCTTCATAAGTTGTATTATTAAACATCCAAGGAAAAAATAAAGAAGATCCACTCCGAATTCGCATTGAGTTTGCTTTGACATGGTGAGTGACACGATAGCGAAAGCAGCACATGAAATGAGGCTATATGCATCTGGTTTTCCATTTACTACTTTGTCGAAGAAAAAGGAATACACAGAGGTGATTGTTAAGATCAGAAAGGCACAATGTGCTTTGAGTCTGAGACTATTTGAAATTTGACATTCCCTTGCAAACAAGATTACAAAACTGATGAAGATGCTAAAAGCGAGGTAAAGAAAGACCTTGAACAAGTTCCACTCCCCGAATAAGTAGTTGAAGGAGGAACTGAGAGCGTAACAGAGAAGTCCTATGATGGTTGAAGCGAGACCAAGGAATCTCCATTTCGAGATTTGGTTGGGTAGTGGCATTGTGTTCTCTCTCAATCTCAAACGAGTAAGATTTGCTTTCATAGAGAGATGTTACTGAGAGCAGCCATTTTTGACGAAGGATCAGATATTTTTTTTCAGATGAAATTTCGAGGAAATGAACCAAAAGGTTGTTGTTCCCCTGTAACAAGTTATGTTTCTCTTTCAAGAGTACGTGTGTTACTGAATGTCTTTCTAGGATTATAATATTTGTTTTATCACATCATTTATATTTTTGTTATTTTTTAAATATAAAAATTATACAATTAATAATTATATATATATATTATATAAAAGTTAAAGAAATAACAACAAAATCACCCTTAAATTTTTTTAAAAAAATCGTATAAGTGATGAGAGGTTTGAAAAGTAATAAACTCGTGTGGTAGTTAATATATTAAATTTGAAAAAAAAAATTCTATTAGTCTAGATAAATATTTATTGATTTTTTTATTGTAATTCTAAGAAACAAAAGGGATTTAGATTAGAAAGAAAATAGTTATTTCTTGCTTAAACATGGCTACGTGTGGCTGATGTAAAACTTGGCTATGGCCGCGTCTAATTTATTTTGAGTCTTAAAAATCTGAGAACTTTTTATTCTGATTTTTAATTAAATCTTATTAATTTTTAATTTTAACAAATATATATTTTTGGCCCCTAACGAGAGATTAAAAAAACACGCTATTTTTGTTTATAGCTAATGATGAATAGTATTAATGGATGTTTCGATCAAGCATATATAACATACACTTTCATCACTTTTTTTGGCAATTCCATTTGGATCTTCTACTGGGGATACAAACATCATTTGCAGAGGTTCATCAGTAAAGCTCCAACGCTGGAAGAAAAGCATGATATCGAGAGCTATGAGTATACTGAGACTCTCAACTCTGTCACTCTGGCTCACTCACTCTACGGAGTGTTGACTTCTCAACGTTTTTCACAAGTTAGTGTTCTCCTTTTTTTTTTTTTTTGTTAATTTACTTTAGATGAACCCAAAATATATGAACTATACTAGAGTTTGAGGTTCTGGATTCACTGCTACTTCGATTTTCTCATATGCTTGAGTAATTTACTGTAAATGTTTAATTCCTCTAATTTGAAAGTGTTAATTTGTCCATTTTCATATCAAGCTCAAGTTTCTTTTTTATTAATTTTTTAACTTTTGCTTTCATATGTCTTTAAATTGTTCTCATAAAAAGGTTATGAACTGTGTGATCAAGTATGATACAATTGAGTTCTTTATGATTATTTTCGTTGAAATGTTTCTCTGTATGGCCTGGCCCTGGCATAATTTTTCGTGATAAGATGAACCTCTAGTTCATGTTCCTTTCATAGCAACTTCAAAAACGATCGTTACTTCACTTGCAAATGGGGGTTAATTCCTTTCATGCATATTCTATATATTTATATATCATGTTATAGTTGGTGTATTGTAATTTAATTATATTGAAATCCTGTTTGTGTCATAATGCCATGCATCCATCCATCACCATATGCTATGATAACTATTTTCAACCTAATTGCTCATTTTTATTGGTTCTAGTGTTAAAGTGGAGGGTGCCTAACTTGAATATGGACAGTAATTCCTGTAGTGTACTATTATAACTTGATAGAATGCTAAACTAAATGGAACAAAAAAGGTACAACATCAAATATCTAAGTTGCTTTTCAAGATGCAAAGGGAGACCATCAGAAGTGGTAGAAATAGATCTCTACGGCCATATTGTCTGCATCAGAATTCTAGCTGTCGATTTATATTTTAAATGGTTAAACGTGGGAATAACGTAGGGAGTCGGGTGTCTTCAACTGCTTATTTTTTTGACGAATTTTTTGCAAAATCAAATTTCAGAAAAAATTTAGATTTACTTGAAATTATTTTTGTTTTATTTGCATACACGTTACATGTAGATTCACTTGCAAATTTTTCTGGATAATTTTCTGCAAAATAATATGCAGAAAAATCATCTTTACAATTTTTTCTTCAAAATCTGCAAAAAGTTTATCTATAGATTTTAAAATCTTTTAAGAAAAATTATCCGAAAAAGAAAACCTTAAATTTAATGAAAAATTTGCTGGAAACACATTTTTTTCGCAAATATATAATAATAATGTGCAAGGAATTTCGCAAAAAAAAAAAAAAAGTATAAATTCTACTAGTCTGAAGAGTTCTATTATTTTTCAACACTTATACCTAATTTTATACTTTATTATAATTATTTATATATATTTTTTCTTCACGACGTCGCATCCACACTTTTAAATGTTCTCAAAATATTTTCAAATTTTAAAGGAAAAAGAGAGGGAAGAGTTATTCCGAATAAATATTACTTAATTTAATATTTTTAAAATAAAAAGATTGAATAATACTAAATTAACACGTTGATCTTTTATTATTTATAAATATTATATGAATTTTTAATTTAAAAATATTTTTTAAAAATAACTCAACTCTCACGTCCATAATTTTATTGTATTGTATTTTATTTTAAACGAATAATTTTGTTTATAAGATAACGAAAACAATAGCCCATCTTGAATCTTCTTTTGAGGATGGCCCTCCGCTGTAAAGACACTTCTGCACTGCATGCGAGACATGCATACATGAGAAAATGGTCTCATTATCATAATTAACCAATGCAGAGATTGTGTTGTTCCATGCAATGCAAAACCTGAAGAAATTGGAGGATGTGAGTGAAGAGAAACAGCAAAACCAGTTGCAGTTAACTAGGAAACTCTTACGTACGAGAGGTTTAATTTTAGATTTGTTAGTTAAATGAAGTTTCAAACATTGTACGCCTAGTTTCATAAACCTTGTAAAAGGTAGTTGAATGCATGGTTTATAGTTTTTACTATTGTTTGTACTTGTAACATCAACATCCTATTTAACTACTCATCATAATTTTCTCTTTGTATTTTGCTCTATTAGTATTTTTCTTTTGCTACTATTAATTTTTTTTTTCCGATTCCTTTTGGATTGACGCAAAACGTGCGATTAAAAAAAAATTTAAATAAATTAAATGATAATATGAAAAGATATGAACACAAGTAAAAATAAACTATATAAAAATTTAATAATTTTGATTGGTTAAAATAGGAATATCTTAAATAATTAAAATAAAATACTCATAGTTTTTGGATTAACATGCAAGAGAAAATAAATGGCTTGGAACAAATTAAGAAGTTAAATAAGAATGACTAAGATTAAATAAAGAAATAAAATAAAATTTATACTTTTGTTGAATAATTACATTGATCTAGAAATAGGTTGAAATTAGTACGAGATAATTAGTTTGTTTACTTGCAACAAATTAACGTTATAAAAATTTGCAAAAAGAAATATCTAATAATTTTATTCGAGGGAGACTTGCTAAAGCCATAAAATAAAGGTTAAAAACACATTTTAATTTAAATAATAATCATAATAACTAAACTAATTAAATCAAATGAAATAAAATCATAATAATAATTTATTATATTAAATAAAAAAATTGAAGAGATAAGATTTTCAAATTTTTAATTAAGATTGTATTAAAAAAATACTTTTATTTTTAAGATATCTTAAAATAATTTTGTTTAAAAATAAAGATTCGTGTTTCAAATATAGGGATAGATTAAGAAGAGTAAATATTTTATGACTAATAATAATATTTTATTATATTAAATATAATTAAATTAAAGATATCAAACTTTAAATTTTAAAATAAGTTACAAAATATTTAAAATTTAAAAATTGTAATTTAAAATTTACAGAATATATTAAGATTGAACTAAAAAAATATTTATATTAAAATAAATACATTTATATTATAAAAATAATATGCTGTTTGGAAAATGAAAATAAAATGTTATTGGAGCTACGTTGTTTCACATCTTATCACTTGTATAATGAAAGATTAAAATTGATTAAAAATAATATATAAATTATGCTCTTTTTTGTAATTGTTTTATTTTTTTTATCTGGATCTTTATTAATTTTCTTTTAAATTTTATAAATTAAAGTTGTATTTAAATTTCTCTTATTATTTTATATAATTTTTTATATTTTTTGTAAATATATATTTATATTTATATTTATAAAATTTATCTTAATTTTTTTATATTTTAAAATTTATTCTTAAGAGTCTCATCTTATATATATATTAACTATTTATATTTAATTAATTTTTTTAATACTATAAAATAAGAGCATTTAAAATAAATTATATTTTAAAATTATTTAATTTTAATAATATTATTTTTAGATGTAAAATTAAGTTAAAATATTTTTAAAATTATTATTTTTATTATATATTATTTATGCAATATATAATTTTATCTTTTAATTATTAAACACATATGCATATTTTATTTTAAGATAAAACATCAGTGCATTCGTGGGCTACTGAAAAAATATGTTATTTCTATATCAAAAATATAAAATTCATATTTTTGATACTGGAATAACCTATTTCAAAACAAAATTATTTTTTATAACATAAAAACATAATTTTATTTTTAAAGTAATATTATATATTATGTTTAAATTTTGTTAATTTTTAAATTATGATAATTTTGTCTTATTTAATTATATTTTCTTTTACTAGTCCAAATAAATAAAGAAAATTTCTTCTCATATTTTAAAAATTTTAGACATACATTAGTTGTTTTGAACGGGCAGAGAAATTTAGGAACTAAAAACAGAAAATTTAAACTTTTTTATTATTTTATTTTATGAATAAAAAATTTAAAATTTGAATAGTTTTGTTTTTCTTTAGCTTGTCAACTAAAAAATGATTCTGGGTGATGTTACGATACGGCATTGTAGATTCTCAAAATGGAGCTTCCCTAGTTTATCTCAACTATATAAAATTTTGGCTTTATCATTTTACTTGTCAATTTCATTGAGTAACCGAAACAAATTAGATAGTGGTTATTATCTTTAAAACTAAATCTGTATAAAATCCAATCTAAACCTTCCCAATGAGATAGTGTTTCTCTTTCTCGAAGTGCATGGCCAACATAGCTGAAGGCATCCAAGAAGAAGAAATGTCAAGTATGGAAGAGGGTGTTAACCCCATCCCTTCCATAACCTTGGGCATGCATAGTTGTTGTTCATCAAACCATGTTGCAACCCTGGCACAAAAGGTCAGTGACTTATCTTTTATCTCAGAAGAATCAACAGTCACACACATGCATATAGATTAGACAAAACTTATTTATAGGAGTAAAATAAAATGAGGTGTTGATTAGAACCCTTAACTAAGTTCAAGGAGAAAATAAAAATAGAAAACTTTTATTTTAAAATTATTTATTATACTTCTATAACTTGAACCCATGAATGTGTTTCTTTTCAAAAAAAAATTTAGAAGATAATAAAACTTCTAATGTTTTTGTTTTTGCTGGATTGTGATGTCACTAGGCGATTGCAGAATTCATTGGCACATATATGGTGGTATTTGCTGGTTGTGGTTCTGTGGCAGTGAATAAGATCTATGGTTCTGTCACATTTCCAGGCATTTGTGTCACATGGGGACTGATTGTAATGGTAATGATTTATTCTGTTGCTCATATTTCTGGAGCTCACTTCAATCCTGCAGTCACCATCACTTGGGCCATCTTTCGCCGCTTCCCATTTAAAGAAGTAATTTTCTTTTCTCAGCATTTTGAATTCTCTGAACTACCACTTATAAAATCAAATTTTCACTCATCTTATTTCTTAGAACAAGTCAAAACTCAACTCATGACACTCCCTAATTTATAAGGGAAAAGGAACCCTTGTACATGGATGCGAGCCTTCGCGGTTTAAATTTCTAGATGAATCTGTAAATTTGAAGAAACAAAAAACATTGACAGAATCATACGTGAAGAGTAATTTACAAGGATTCTTTGACAATTCCTTAGGTGATTCAGGATTATATGGTCCCAGCATCTCACATTGTGTTCAGTATCATTTTTCTTTTTGTAAATTAGAAATTTATACACATGATACAATATTATTGATGAAGACTGTGGTAGTGCAAAAAAATTTCCTTGATATGGGTCTTAGTATGATGGTTTTGTGCATGTAGGTGCCACTTTATATTTTTTCTCAGTTGATGGGATCTGTACTTGCTAGTGGAACATTAGCCATAATGTTTAATGTCACACCCAATGCTTATTTTGGAACGGTACCAGTTGGATCTAATGGCCAGTCTTTAGCTGCTGAAATCATCATCACCTTTCTCTTGATGTTTGTCATATCTGCAGTTTCTACAGATGACCGAGCGGTTTGCACTCTATATTTCTATTTATCAATCAATTTGTGGCTTTAACTAATTTTTGTCTTGGTTTTCTTCAATCCAAAATTCTAATGATCATTTTTGGTTGGCTTGATAAATTGGCAGGTAGGTGACTTTGGAGGAGTTGCAGTTGGAATGACTATAATGTTGAATGTGTTTATTGCAGGGTATATTTAGTTATTAGTTGATGGGTTTTGAATTTTGATTTTGGCATGGCTAAAAATGGTCCATGAGGTTCATGTTGGCTTCTTATTAAAATTGAAAATGGTTTTGTCTTCAGGCCTGTGTCAGGAGCTTCCATGAACCCTGCAAGAAGTCTTGGTCCGGCACTTGTCAAGCATGTTTACAAAGGGTTATGGGTATACATAGTTGGTCCAATTGTTGGAGCCATAACTGGAGCATTTGTCTATAACTTTCTCAGATCCACAGGCAAGCCACTTTCAGAATAAACCAAAGGCCCTTCTTGAGGAGCAGTTTCAGTGCTACTTAAAATGACTTAAGGTTGATAGAAATCTATCTTCTCATGTTACAATTTCATATGATTTTTGTCATTTAAATATTTTGTTTAGTTTTTTATTACTTAGATTTGAATAAGGTTGTATATATTTAATGTTAAGGATTTCAATATGAAAAAAAATCAATTTTCATTAATTAAGTTAGTGCTATTTAATTATTATTATTATTTAAACATTTTAGGTTGAAAATTGAATGATAAACTTGACCGATCAGTTGAGTACAACAAATATAGAAAAGATTGTTGTGCTTCAATAAAAATGTGTTGATTAAAATATTATAATTATAAATGCATTCTTATTTTTACTGTTTTGGCTAGTAATGTAATTGCATTAAACTTTGTTTTGAAAGTTTAAAAAAACAAAAGTTTGAGAGTAAAGAAAGAGAAAAAGAAAGACAGTTAATAAAAAAAATTAATTTGATTAAGTTTTTAAGAAGATTTTGAGAATTTATAAAATATTCTTTCAGATTTAAAAAAATTTAAATAAGAATTACTAGTAGATAAATTTTTTTTCTTTTTAAAATTAACTCCAAATGAGGTTCAGTATTATTTATTTGGAATATATTTTGTTAAACTCTAGCTTATGTTCTAAACAAAAGCTTTACGTGGATAATAAATTTTGTTCTCTTTATTAAGTTTTTATTTTAGTAACAAGTTTTTATTAAAATTATAATTATATATGTATATTAAATAGTTTGAACGGAATAGACCAGCAATATTTTTTATAAGAGATTAAATTCTTATTTTAGTTTGTAAGAAAGTTTGAATATAATATTTTAATTCTGAAATATTTAAAATGTCACGTTAATTTTTAACTTTTCTCATCATTATTCACTTTAGTTCTTGAACTCAAATTTCAAAAGATTGAATCGTCATGTTAAATGTCACGTCAAAAACTTAGTTAGTAAAAATAATATTATTAAGAAATTAATGTAACACTCTGAATGACTAAACGACGTCTTGATTGAAATTATTCTTTTCAAATAAGAACTCTAAATTTGTTTAGTATTTATTATTAATTTTATTAATATATATGCATATTATTAATAAAATAAATTTTTTTATCATCTTATTTTATTTAAGATATGAAAGATTCTATAATTTTTATGAATAATGTATTTTTTATTGTAATTATTAGTATTAAAATAAAATTATATTGATAATAAAGTGCATAATTTTATTTAAAAATTTAAATTAGTTATTTTAAAATTTAGAAATAAATATCATGCACGTAAGTATAGAAGTTGTTAATAGTATACAAACATGTGTACAATCATATTAAAAATTATGTTAAATTATAAATTTAATTTTCATATTTGATACATTTTTTTATTTTATTCTATATATAAAATAAAAAACTATAATTTAATCTTTACATAAATAAATATTTTAAAATTAATCTTTATCATTTAATAAACGTTTAAACCAAATGACTAAAACGTAAAACAAATTCATCATAACTAAAACATAAATTTTTAACTATAAATACTAATTTGTATACAAAGACTAACTTTTATTAAAATTGAATATTGTCTTCATGACACTCTTATTTTTTAATTAATTAAAAAATTACTTTATTTTATAGAATTTTATTAATCTCAATTTTTAGAGTTAAATTTAAATATGAAAACTTTTGTTAAGAAAAAATTCATTAATTATATTAAAAGTAATTTTACTTTTAATAAAATTTTATTATAATTAGATGTTTAAAATTAATCCTAAAGACTGAAGTTAATATTTTATTTAATTTTATATTTTTATCTTTCATTATACTTTTAAATGAATAAAAAAATATTAACATTAATATTTTTAGTATAGCTTCTATAATAAATCAAATAGAATAGAATTATTTTTTTAAAAATTATGAGAAAAAAGAAATTAAATACAAAACTACACTGTATATAAGTTTATTTTAAAATATAAGTTTTAAATTTTTAAATTTTTTTTTATTAAGTACCTTTTTTTAAACAAGTTTTTTTTTTTTAATTTCCAATTAGAATACACATTAGTGATGATAAAAATGTAATCATTTTTTCTCTTTTTTTATTAGAATTTACTATTTTTAGTTGTTTAAAGTTAGTCCTTAAAAAATTAACATTTTTTATTTTATATTTTTATCTCTTAAAAATATAAATTTTTAGTTTCTTATAATTTTGTGATGTTTTCATTTGATATCTTAATTTTTTTTTAATTTCTAATTAGAAAAGACATTTAGTCCTTATAGTCAAATCAATCACGATAATTAAAATTAAAATTTTAATTTTATTATAATGTTTTTTTAATGTTTTGGTCCCTTCTATCTAATCATCAATAAATTTTAAACGGAAAGTATTAATTTAAAAATATTTATTAATGTAAGAACTAAATTATAATTAAAAAATTACATGTAAAAATTAAATTTTTAATTTAACCTAAAATTTATTAACAATATAAACATGCACACACTCAGACAATCAATAGTTTTATTGTAAGTACAAAATTGTTGAATATTAAAATATAGAACTAATAAAAATATAAAATGAAGTATTTGATTTATAATAATTTCAAAGACATTAAAATTTTTATCATCAATCTATCCAATAAATTTTAAATAACTATTTAAAATAAATATTCTAAATGGTTCGACCTGTTTATATATAATTTGGGGAAAGAAAGAAAATAGTAATGTAAGCATTCCCAACCTTAATTTTTGTAAATATATTTAAACTAATCAATCAAAGTAACCCACCTTGTCCCCTCTGAGATTCGTCCCTACTAGGAACAGGAGCTTAATTCTCAATATTGCGCTTTTATTTTAACTTTGGTCAATGCTGGGAGGGCTTTTGACTTGTAACTGTTTTTGAAACATCTCTGACCATTGATTTGGGCTTCATTTTCTTTTTTATTCTTGTTTTTTTGTCTGTTGATTTTTGTTACCGTTGGTCTCTATTGGGCTTTATTGGTCGCCCAATCCCAAACATATGCATCATAGAACATCTATTTTATTTTATCACCATAATACAAATTTAAAATTTCATTATTTTGCTTACTTTTATTTAATTAATTAAACCGATTGACATACATGCAAAAATTTCTATCCCAAAGAGTTGATGCTTCTCTAAATGTGATTAAAAATTAAACCCATGCGATGGCCTTGAATAAATCACACGACTGAAAAGCAATAAGAACTGAAATTTTTGCATCAAATGTGAATATTGATTTGTTCAGCATCACACATTAGAATCTGTTCACCAACAAGTTTACCAGGAAACACAAAAACCAATGGGAATCAAAATAAAATGAAGATGATGCCATAAAAAAAATGAAGACGAATAAACAAAGTCTTGAACAAGGAAGAGAAATCAAACATTTAAGCTATTTTTAGCTTTGCTTCATAAAGTTACCAAAATAACGTTGTAACTAAGAGTGCTCCAAAACCAGCAAGAACCAGCGACCCCACAACTCTGTTTGGAGCAGCAGAGTAATAGTATGCATATTGATCCCCTGGCACGCCTGTTACATATATGAACCTTGGCGGTGGCGGTGTTGGTGGTGGTCGTGACGGTGGTGGTGGCGACCGTGGCGGCGGCGGTGGCGGTGGCAATGGATCACAACTTGGTGGGGAGGAAACTTCTGGTAGGAGTAGTGGTGGCGGTGAAGGAGGAGGAGGAGGAGGAGGTGGAAGTTGGTCACTGCAGGGGTTTCCACAAGGACATGATCCACACTTGATTTCAGTGTTTGTTGGCTTGGAAATCAGTGATTGGTCTAACTTGATAGAAGATGTGTTGGCTTCAACTGTAGATGAAAATGTAATGCAGAAAAGGAACAGCAATATTGGAAGTTTTTGAGGATTCCAATTCTTTGTTGGAGACACCATTGTCTTAGTAAGGGGACTGGGAATTTGATTTCTTTTGAAACAAGATATAGAAATTAATAAGAACTTGTATCTTAAGTAGGGTGTAAGATTTTGGTGATTCTCTTGGCCTGTGGTGCAGTATACGTGAAAAAAGGTTGATGTATGCCATATTCGGATACGATTACACGTACAATATACTTGCCTCCGTATCTTAAATGTATCCACGACTACTTAATTATTAGTGATATTTTTCATATTTTATAGAACTTATTGAAATATTTCTTTATTTTATTATTATTTGACTACGATTTTCATCAAAGTTATCTGAAAATATTTAATATGCATATATAAATATAAGCATATTTAATCAATATATATTGCCATTCTTATATTCTAATATTTTACAAAGTATTTTTACTTGCGTATTTGTATTGTACATCTACTTGTGGAATGTATTGGCTGAGGTTACTTTATTACATGTATAGTGTAATTAAAAAAACAAGGGTTACCCATTAGGTAAACATGGGAATTTTTAGAAAATGCTTTAGCAAACTTGATCTAATTGGTCCACTTGGAGAATGTTTGTGTGCTTTTGATAGTGACTTGAATGTGGTCGTACCTTTTACACGCTTTCAATTTGGGAGTTGTGAGCATTAAGAATGTCAATCTTTAAGAGTTTCTGGTGAGTTTAGTGAGAAACCTTAAGAGTCTGAGAGAGAAAGGTTAATTTTGTGTAGCCAACTACGTTATGATTCCCTCTATAGCAAGAAGCAATATGTTGAGGTCTTTATTCCCTTCTCTTCTGATGGCGTGTAAGCATATTCTTGGCTTTTGCATGGGATAAGGTGATCACACATCAAAGTGTTCATTAGCTTGCACATTGGACAATCCAATGTAAAGGAAAAATAATGAATTGTGGCAATAAAATGGAATTCTAATTCTTAATGTAAAGGACAAAGTATCTTGGACTTGGTTTCCTCACGTCGTTAATCAGTTTCTGGTGTGGCAGAGAAAGTAAACACAATTACTCAGTCAGATTACAAATTTAATTGTAGTTCATAGCTTCAAAGATAATTCTTACATAAATTTCAAGTCGTGTTCTTTTCCTTTTTATTTTATGTTGGTAACTAGCTCAAATCGTTCTTTGTTATACCTGATCGATCCTTGCTTTGCATCAATAAACAATAGAGCGTATGTCTCCTTCACTTTGCATAAAGTGTAAAGCTGTCATTATTCCTCCCCATTCGTGAACAATTATTGGCATCTTCATTTTCATATAGCTTGCATTTAACAAATAAGTATCTCATGATTATAAGCTTTTCCTTTGCTCCTTTTTTATATGAACCTAATAACTATTCTGCTGAAGGGGAACTCACTCGTCTTTAGCAAGATTGAATAATTGATTAAAAAAAATTTGTTTTGTCTAGAAGAATTTATAACATAATTTATGAATAATATTTAAACAATGACAACTATATTTATCATTGCATCTATCTCATAACCAATATAAAGTATGAAAGTAATGGGATGAAATTATCTTCGTTAGCTCCGAATTCCGAAGTCAGGGAGTATATATATGGAGGGAGAGAGAGTGATCGGTTAAAAATGGTGTTCGCGGATAATAAACCCTATCATGAAATCCATACTCAAATTAAAAAAGGTTGAATTTTATTGATTTAATTTAGTTTTGGACCAAAATATATAAATCAAACCAAAGTAACTTAACTAGTTTAGTTTGATTTTTCAAATATATTAATTTATTAATTTGATTTTTTGAATTTATGAAGAATATATTCTATTTAAAATTTACAACGAATGCATCATAAAATCTCTTAATTTATTTTATGACCATAATACAAAGTTAGTTTTTTATTATTTTGCTTAGATATATTTCGTTAAAGACAAATAAACAACGAGTGGCGCCCATTAGAAAAGGTCCTAACCATTAATAGACATCTTGACTGAAACAGCTACTATTCTTTTTTATTATTATTATTCTAAAACTAAAATAAATTTTAGCTATTCCACTTATTCATATCAAATAACTTCTGAAAAAAAAAATACAAAACAGAAGCCTATAGCTACCTATCAAATCTGGCAAAACGATCATTTAGTAAAACTCCTTTGTTTAGGATTTTTTTTTTATCTGGACATTAAAAAAAGCCCAACACTATCTAGTACACAACACCTGCAATTGAACAAAAAGAAAAAGACTGCAAAAATTAGTTGCCACCAACACCATCTACCTCTTCAAGAACGATCTAAATAGTAGCCAAGACAATTGTTCCAAAAAGATGGTGGTAACTATTAACTAACAATAATAAACAATTAATTGGGCAGACATGAATGAAACGCACATAATGAAAATCTACTCACCATTTTAAATTTCCATAGATGGTATTGGGAGTTCTGTGGTCTTTTGCTTAGAAGCTTCTTCACCTTTTTTCTCATCATTTGAAGTAAGCAACAGTAGACTATTAGAACAAAGATTAATGAAATAAATGAACTAAGCAAGCAATTAATATGACCGGTGACTAGAAGACGTTTTACAAATGGAAACCAAATGCTGACAAAAACGACGACCCAAGTCTACCAGTCTAGGTCAAGTAAACCCTTCAGACAAGTAAGGCCCATTTGCCTAAGCTTTCATGCCAAATCTGCACCCACTCGTACTTACACCCCTACATTAAGGAATTTTTGTATTGCACATTATTATGATACGCCATTTTTTGCATTTTTCATTGTAAAATAAAATTAGAGAGTGTAATTGAATAAGTGTTTTTGTTTTTATTTTCAAATTTTGTGTAAGAATTTTACAATAAAATGTATTTATAATTTTATTGCAAACTAGCATTTGAAATTAGGAAAAAAAATTACATCAATATAAATTACACTTACTTTTATATTATTTATTTATTTATATTAAATAATTTATTTTTGAAATAATCATTAAATTAAAATTTTTAATCATATAAATTATTTTTACAAAATTTTAGATCAACTTAAAATTATTTAATACTTATTCATATATATCAAATTAATATAAAATATACATCTCAAATATATAAAAATAAGGACTCTTTAATTTATTCTTATAGTTTTTGACATAAATAATTAAAATAATACATAGTTATGATTCAATAGTTAGATAAACAAAAATTATATTTTATAGAAAATTATTAAATAATATAAAAGTGAATATAAATTATAATGGTACACATAATTCCTCCTTTTTAGAATCAGATTTTAAAAAATACTAATAATTTTTTTAAAAAAATAAACCTTCCTCAAAAAACGTAAGGTTTGTATATGATTTTCTTTCATTTATTATAAATAGGCCAACGAATTCAGATTGTTTAGATTAAAAAAAATTGCTATGATGAGTCTAAACAAAAATAAAATTACTACCAAATGACTTGGTTCAACAGATGTAAATATAAAGTGATATTTGATTATTTTATTTTTAATTAAAATATTTTATTTTAAATTATAATAATATCACACTTTATAATTATCAATAAAAAAATTAATCAAAATAATAAACATAACAAACTACATCCCCATGATTAAAAGGTAATTTTGTAAGATATAAAAATTATTAAAATAAATTTTATCTTTTCTAATAAAATATTCTCTATATATGACCTGGAACCGAATCATAAATCATAACTTAGTCAAATCAAATCCTAACATAATAGATTAAATAAAATAAATATATACCTATTATGAATTTAAAGTATATTAAGCTTAAAAATATTCTAATTTTTTTAATGTTTGGCTCAATTCAAAATACCTAAAATTTATCATAATCTCTTCTGGATGTGTGTTCACAATTTAGTCTAGAGTTACTTATATCATTTTTTGACCAACTATTTTTTTTTTTTATATTTGAGTTTTCTTACATCTATTTTTTTTATCTACTTATTCTTTCTACCTTTCTCATTATTTTCGATTACATCATCTATTATATCTCTCTCTCTTATTTTTTGGTGGAATAGTCATTTCCGTTTTCCAACTTGGTAATACAGAGATTGGAAGACTCAAGTTTACCAGAGTCAAAATATCTAATTAACAAAGACAAATAGGACTTAGCATTTTAAGCGTGTAACTTACTCTGAACTCTAAACACAGTACAAACAACGTTTTCCTGTGTCTCTTTTTATTGCGACACCACCCAACCCTTCTCTTCTAAGTAAGCATTTGAATTCTCAACATGGCAAGGCCTCTTCTTCCCTCTCTTATGCACAATCTTCCATTCTCTTCCTCCATGCCCATGTCACTATTCTTCGTTCTGCTTGCAATCTTCTGTGTATTTTCTGTGATCACTTTTCTCTGCGGTTCTGGAAAACTGAAGAAGCTACACACAGAAACGGAGGAAAAACCAACAAGATCTAAGGAACACAAGCTCATTTCCAAGCTGAACAGCAACCTCGGCAACAAGACACTTTCCATGGTGAAGATGCTGTCATGGAAGAAAGTACAGTCAGAAGGAGAAGAAGAGGGAGATTATGATGACCAAGATGAAGAAGAAGCTTTGTGGAGGAAGAACATCTTGATGGGAGAACGGTGTCGTCCTTTGAACTTTTCTGGGAAAATTGAGCATGATTCTGAAGGGAATTAAAGGCGCTTTCTGGTTTGTAGAGTATCGTTAGAAACTGTCTTGGATCGAAACTTGCTCAGGTTTTGCACAGTTTGTAGAGTTTTGTTGCTGTTGTGAGATACGTAATAAACCTAGCAACCTTTTATTTTTTCGGTGTGTGGAAGCACTTTGTCGTGAACTTTGCAGGGTCGGTTACAAGATTGTGGTCTTTTTTCTCTTTTTCAATTTTGTTTTCAGTTTTTTAGAATTTACAAAGGAAATTTCAAAGTGAAAGTTTATAGCTTCTGACTTTTCATATTAATAAATTTAATAGTTAGCACATAATTTCATGAGGTGATCAAATGTATTGGCCAGGTCTCAAGTTCCCTACATAAGATTAGATACACTTCCAATTGAAGCAGGGATTTTACTGTGAACAATGAACACCCATTCATTTTCTCAACTGCATGAACACATAAGTGATAAATATTTATAATCTAATGTGTTGAGATTTTGGGTTGAATGCGATGATGGCTATAGTGTTTTTGCATTATCCCAAGCACCCGGGCTCCCTTTAAACAAAAAATTAAAATAAATTATACATTTTATTATATAAAATGCCAAATTTTAATTATTCAAATAACCAAAAAAACAGAAATGTTAGATGTGTTCGTTAGGATTACAGAGCATATTTAAAATCTGTTATGTATTCCTTTGTAATTTGATCTGGTAGTTGTAGAATTTACTCGTTGATCTGGACATTTGGCGCCCGCTTTTAAAATATTTCAATTTACTAATAAATTAGATAAAATAGCTTTCGCGTGATACTATTGGTCGAAAAATTAAGTTTGACTCATGTCTCAAGCTTGTTTAATGATATGAAATTAAATCTATTTAAATTAATTTTAATTAATACCAAAACAAATTAATTTCTAACTAGGTGGTAAGAACAACTCTCAGTGTACCAAACAATAAATTTTATTGTTTGGTAGAGTAGTCGCAGTTAAGTATTTTAGTGCCGCACAAAATATTTTTAAAAAGTTGTCAGGTATACAAGTGGATATTTATGATCACTCTAATAAATATTTAAGGATTTAAATATGCTTTTATTATTTTATATTTTGTAAATAAATTTCTATTGTTGCTTTCTATAAATGTGTGCTCCGTTTGTTCTTTAATTTATTATTTTTAAGAATTATTTTTATCAATTTTGAAAGTTTAAGAAACTGTTTATTATTTTTTATTGATGATATTAAAACATTTTAAAAATTAATTAATTTATTATTCAAATAGATAAAATAGGGTATGCTAAAAATATTATATTATGATTTTATTAAAAAACAATATTAATTTTTTAAAAAATTTTGTGTTAAAACTTTAAATTGAAGGATAAAAAGAAATACATGGAGTTTTATTTCGTAATATTTTAACTAGGTGTATAACTAATTTCATTTAACGTCGTGATATTGTGAAGACTTATTGGACATTTATAATTGTTAACAGTTTTCTTAATCTCTCTTTGTGTCTGTGTGTGTGTATATATATATATATATCTTTTTCAAGTTACATAGAAAACAATTAAACAATATAAATACCATATTTTTATGTTGTTTCCATAAACTACTCTAATAAAAAATAAATGTTTCTTTTAGAAAATTTAAGTAAGGATATTGTATGCAATTGTCGATAAACACATGACAAAAGGGGTGTCTGGGCCATAATTGTTGTCCACATCAACTTTACAAGCAAAAGCAATATCAATTTTTGGTTTCGGTCCCAATGATAAGTTTTTTTTATTACTTTTGTTATTGATAAGGGCCCAAGATTCTTCAAGTAGCCCACTAAGCATGCCATCCACAGCCTGACCCAATTTCCCTTCTCACAGTCCCTCGAGACTTTTTCCCCGAAGCTGTCTTCCCAAGTAAGGTGGGCTATTTGCAATACCAAAATTCATTCGAATGATATTAAGCTCTCTTTCAAAATTTATCTTTTGAGTTTAATTAAATATCTAAAACAGTTCTCTTTTATAATTTAAGCACAAAATATTAAAAATGCTAATATGATTTATTGAGTGTAAACATATAACAAATATAAACAGAAAGTATAAAGATTTTAATATTATAAATAATTAACAAGAGTGGGATTTGGTAATTAGGAACTGTATAGTCCTACTTCGGGAGTAATATCAACTGATGATTCAAGTTGATTGCACTTTATAAAGGTTTATGATTTACGGGTGCAGTTTTTAATCCGTGATACTCATAAGAATTCTCAATTAGATTTAAATTCATACACTTTAGGCAATGCTCTTATACATAGAATGTATATAAGTTAGCAGTTGAACCACATCTCACAAATACTTTTTCTCTATTTTATGGCATTTTTTACTTTGAGAATAATGACAAGAGTCGGTAGTTAACCTTACATATGACCTGAATAATGTTTTTCTCGCATTCTATGGTGAGATAAATATAGAGAAAAAATATTAAAAAATTAAAAATGAAAAAAGCAAAATAGAATACAATATATAATGCAATAAAGAAAAGAAGAAACGGATAGAAATTAAAAGTATAAGTTAAAAAAAAAAGAATAAAACTAATTTACAATAAAATTATGTAATTTAAAAAATGTTTTGAATTTGAGAAACTAGAAAGGGTCAAACTCTTTGAATAATGAATTAAAGTTGTAGAAAAAGTGAGTTATGGATAAAAAAAATCTCATAGAAAAGTGATACGTGTCCGCTTGACATAGTGTTGACAAAATAAAAACTCATTATAATTTATTGCACTTTCATGATTCAGATATCTTCATCCCTTTTTTTGTTAGTGCAGAGGGGCAAGGTTTATATGAGATTAACATATACAAATTTGAATTAGCAATGATTAAACTGGAGTATTTGTTTCTTTAAAATAAGGGGTGCACTTGAAAAAACAAATTATATTTATATTCGTTGATTAGATACAAATGTATGCATAATAAATTTTAAAGTTGTTAAAATCTTAACTTTGATTTTTCCACTTAATGGTGACAGATGTATTCTATTATTCTCTGCATATAATTTTCTTACTTTAGAAGAGACAGATCCTAAACAATAAATTTTATATTTGGTATGAAAGCTTGCCAGCAAATACAACTAGCATGTCAAGTATGGATTGGAGTTATCAGACTTAGCTCAATAATAAACTCAGTTGAGGTATTAAGCTAATTGGTCAATGGTTCAATGACAATGGGTATAGAAGACAAGATAAGTCATTGAGCAAACAAATGAATGCATGTAAATATATACATATCTATATCTCATCTCAAAAAGAGAAAGTGGGCTACATATTTTAGAACAAAATTAACATGCTTCAGTAGGGTACTACTGCTCTAGCTTGCTTCTGCCTTGGATCTTGGTCATGCTTTGCTTCTACTTAAATACGGCTATTGACTAGTAACTATTGAGGAGCTTCTCCTACACCAATTTCTTCATTTTCCACTGGTCTGAAACTCACTCGTTTCTGCAAAATCATTACATTCAAGAAAGAACATTAACACAATAAAAATGAATTACTAGGAAACTACAAATATCATTCATTAATTAGACAGACTTTTGAAATGTTCTTTTTTATTTTCTTTCCCCCGTTAACTCGGGTATTTGAATACACTAACTCACCAAGTCTAAGTCGCCGATAACGTACAAATTGTTTTATGAATTTATAGGGCCATAATAGGTAAACGACGAGTAATATTATTGATTGCACATGTAATACTACATCAATTAGGAATTATTCTTTAATGGCGTGTTTGATTTTATATAAACTTCCAAAATCCTCTTTGTTTCCCTCAAAGCGACTTCATTGTCCTGCTAGTGTATTTGGTTTTATTTAAGACAAAATTAAATTTTTCTTAATTCTAATTCTTCAATTGTAAAAGCAATATTTTTGTTATTTTTACAATAAATAAAAAATTATCATCAAAACAAACAAATCTTATATTAAAATCACTATAAAATAAACAATGTTACAAATAAGTTAATTTACTCATTTTTTTAACAAAATTAAGCTAATCTAATCAAGCACATAGTATATCAAAAGTTGTATGTACATGTACAGGGCTTAGATTCAGAAAGTTGGTAATTGTTGTCCTCATGTAAGACGCAACTGTAATTAATTAAAATCCAAAACATATTAGGCTTAATACGAGTTTTATTGTGCATCATTAAATAATGTTTAAAAAATAATTTTATAAAAAAAAGGCGATAAAAGATTGAATATTGTGCTGTGAAGCGGAAGTATAAACGCTTAAAATATAATCCCTTGGAATCCGCAGCAAGAAAACGACCTTGTCTACGCAACCACATGCCCTTTCGCGTGTGTCGACATCAGCATTAAGCCGCGGCTTAATTAGCGCTCGTGAACGCAAACGGCCAAACACACACGAAAGTTCAAACCACTTTCAAAGATTCAAGAACATCATTTATAATATTATAATTATAATTAATAAAATAAATAAATACAAAAGAAATACATACCGCACGTGGCTTGTGATTGTGATGGTGCACCACCCTCACGCCACCGTCCTCCGCCGCGGCGACGGCGCCGCCCTCGCCGGCATTGGTTCCCATGTACAAGCTAATGATTTTATCCGCCACCTCAGAACCGTCGTTACTCTCTTCCATCAACTTTTCCAATTGGGCCTTGGGGAGCCTCATCTTAACCCTCATGGGCCCATCCATGCCCAGATTGAGGGGAGGCTTCACGAGGGCAAGGTCTGAAACGGAGCGTTTGGAGAGCATCAAGAGCTCGAGTCTATCCTTAGCGTTCATGCTGCGGATACCACTGGATCGCACCCTCCTGGGCAGTGCCGTTTTGTCCTCTTCGGGCTGAATCTTGGGTAACTCAACGAGGAAGTATATTTTTTTGGGCTTCAGCTGGTAGTGAGGCTCTAAAGGCTTGGCTCGAAGCCCGAAATGTTTCACCGCTTCGGAATCCAATAGAACGTGACCGGGATACTCCTTGACGACGTCGTTTGCTCTGGCTGGAGTCTTCAGCTTGAACGTTTCTCCATCTACTTTCATCACCTTGGCTTTTTTACTCCTTCCCATGGTGTTCCCCATCTTCGGTATTCGTAGCTTCACGTTTTCTCTTCTCTTCGGATATTTTTTTGTTCGGTTGATTTGGCAAATGGTACGTGTTTTAGCTTTACCGAGTTTTGTGGGGGTATTTATATTGCTATTATGGGAGGGATATTTTAGTGACTACTTAGTATTAGTAAGAGGTTGACCAAATCAAAATTGAATTACGGGATGTGCATGTGTGAATTGGTGGAATTTTTGCTTTGTATAGACTATAGAGGATTAGAGGTTTCCTTTAAAAAATTGAATAGTGATATGGATGGTAAATAGTAGTGGGAAAACTTTGATTATAAGGGGATAAACTCTACTTTGGTTGGGTTATAACAAAGGTTGTGGGGTAGGCCAAGCTAACCTTCAATCTTAATCAATCTTAATATTGTACTCTCCTTTTGAGAAAAGAAGAAAAGGAAGTGGCCTACCTTTATATTCCTTTCATATATGTTTTGTCTACCTGTCCAAGGAAATGCGTTTATGAGACAGATGATGACGATGGATATTGTCAAAAACTGAAAATAAAAGAGGGAGAATTCATGTTTTTTATTCAATTTCTACGATAAAATGTTTGTGATACGAATAATTAATATATAAACTGATTCTTTACCACTAGATCTAAACTGAAATTCAAACAATTTTAATAATATCGCTTGAGTTTTTTTTTTTTTTTTGTCAACTATATAATATCATTTGAATTTAGAATTTCAGATGAAGCTGCTTATATAAAATAATACGTGTAAATGTTTTGCAACAAAATAATATTAACCCTGACATGCGCAGTTGATTAGCAGAAATAATATTAACCCTGACACAACTAACATAATGAACTAAATCTCACAAAGAAAAATAGCTGAATTTTATATATGTATTATTACATTTCTTTTAATAATACTTTTAAAGTACGCCTTACATTCGACTCTTTTATCGTCTATTTCGGTAAAGCGAAAGCAAATTGAAGAAAAAAAATTAAAATTTTGACTTTTTTAATTAAATAAAAACACATCATCATTATCTGTATTTTTTATTTATAAACATAAAGATATTAAGGGGGGAAAAGTAACAAAAATTATCATAAAATATTTAAATTAAAGTTAATAATAAATAAAGATTTATTTTTTATTTTACACGTGGCTTTGTTTAAAAAGTGTTTAATAAATCTTAAGGAAAAAAAAAAAAGAAGGAAAAGATTTCCCTTAGGCATGACAGAACACAGTCTCGCACCGTATTATTGATGCTAATAATCGCTTTTTAGCGTCACGAGTTTGGGAATGGTAAGCATTAGGCAACTGTGAATGGATAATGGCGTCAATATTCAATTGCCCCTTTTATTTTGTTTTTGCTATACTGTCTCTGAACAGCTTCCGAGAGGTGCTCACACCTTACGTCAGAACGTTCTCTTCTGTCGGCCTTCCAAATTTGTATTCACAGCTGCTTTTTTTTTTTTTCTTATTTAAATAATCCTACACATTCATATACAACACATTATCCTCTTCCTTTTTTATAAAAAATTAAATATTAGTAAATCTTTATTTCTAGATGCGTTAATTTAATAAAGTTATTGTAAACCGGAGGTTAATATATTCTATTCATTATTCTAAAAATATTAAATAATATTTTAATTTCATTATTACTTTGTATTTAATAAATTATTATTTACCAACACTCGGTTAACAATTTCTGAAATAAAGATCATCACTTCTGCAAAAGAGGGTTTATAGCTTGGAGCAGCCGCCAACCAAACCTTTGAGATTCCTTTCACTTCCTATGGTTGTTGTGGTTAATAAGACAGGAAATGAAGATGAAAAGTGAACAATTAATAAAAGAGACATGGTATTAATAAAGACAACCATACCAAAGAGATATAGAGAAGGAGGATGGGGAAGAGGGCATCTTATTATACTGCTCTAGTTTGTATATACTATTGTAGCTTTCATTCCCCTCTTGTAATGTACTCGTAATTCAAATTTATTAGGCGTTTGTTGATAAGTATAGAAATTAATTATACTTTTGGTTATTATATTTCAATTTATATGTATTTTAATTTTTAAAATTTTGTTTACTCACATTTAGTAATTATAATTTTGTAAATTTTAAACTAAAATTTTCACCCATTTTTATTAAATTTTATATATTTTATTTGATATTTTTATTTAAATATTTTATATATTTTTCTTACTTATTTATATAAATTAATAAAATATCATATTTTCATTATTTATTGGATAAAATTTTTAGATGAAAAATTTAATTTGAATATTTAAAAAACTAAAAAAAATCAAATGTGAGTAATTGAAATAGAAAATCAAAATCTATAAGAACTAAAATTATAATTAAGCCTAAATATAAGCCACGCGATCACTCACTCTCTTTTATTCATCTATTTGTAGCTTGAATTGAAGAATACATACTGCAATATAAAATTGGAATATTACTTTAGAATTGTCGTTCATGTGTTTTTTGTTCTGATTTCCCTCAATTTTTATCTCACACACATGAGTTTTGGGATTCAATAAGTAAGTTCATTCTAGTTTTCATTTCGTTTTCATCCCAATTCAAGGCGAACATAACAAATGAATATTGAAATGGTATTGAACTGCCATTCTAATCTAAGAAAGCTTATGATGATTTTTCACATTTCATTTTCTTAACCCTTTTATTTTTTTCTTTTCATCCTCCCTTTCTCATGAAGTTATCACTGAAGATATTAGAAGATGACCAAGGTAGGTGTGCTTTGGTTGAGTTCATGCTCTTCTTATTGGGTTGAGGAACTTGCTGCTGCCGATTAATAGCACGGAGTTATATACTTTTGGGAATTGAATCTAGATCATTTCATGTCATTATATTTTTATTATATTTTTCATAAATATAAATTTTATTCTAAAAGTATTTATGATATTAAATGATATAATTAGTAATTTATATATTTAATGATACTAATAAAAAAAGAGTATAAAAAAATTTAACAATTAATATATCTTGAATCTATTATTTGTTTCTTATAATAAAAAATAATATTTTATTTTATTTTTTATAAAAAAAATCGAAAAGAATATTAAATAAGAACTTATCATAATTAATTATATGCACGGATTAATTTCAATAAAAACTTTGTCAATTTCTTTCTGACATGGCTTTATCGTATTATTTAATGATATGAGATACAAATGTGCTTGCACAAATATGCATGACCCATTATTATTAAAAAAACAACGACCAAATTGAATTGGTTAACAAATATATGGGTGTCAATGCAAAACAGTTTCCCAGAATGGTAGCTGGCTTTGAATAGATAGAAGTTTGAATATGTTAATGAGTCAACGGATTTTCATCAGCTTAATTAGTGAGAGTGCCATTAATGATTTGTATCAATTAACATTTGACATTGGCAATGTAATTTTCATAAGTGATTATTTCATAATATAAGGAAGCCGGCAAATCGACCTTCTTTGTGGAATGCTGACTGGTATAACAGAATTCAGTAGTTTGTCTTGGTCTAATTCCAATTGTTATTAATTAAATGCATTATTTTCTTATCCTATGGTAATTGAATCCCTCTCAATTTGCATACTAATTCAATTCAACTCATCACGTTGCATGGTAGTTATAGTCTTCTCCGTTTCATTATGCAATAAGTTAGGTCCAAGAAATTTCACTCTTCGATTATCCGAACTTGAAAATCTGCCTCTTACTGTGTCGAAAACATGGTAAGAAGAGGAAAAAGAGATCTGCATATAGGCACGAAAGCATCGATTTTTCATCTTGTACATGAGACCTTATTATAACTCGTAGATAAGCATGAACATAGATCTGGCTAATTAGGTTAGGTCAAATGCTTTTGCATAACCGTAATTGATGAAGTTAGGACTACTAATTAACAGGAGATAGTTAAAGTAATACATACTTAATTTTTCTCAAACAGGATCTTAATGTTACTTTTATTATAATGTGAATATTTTGACTTCAATGCAATTGTCTTTTATAAAAGATATTTAGAAGAAAAAAAAATGAAGGACTTGAGACCATTATGTCACTGACCATGATGTGACGAATTCTTTTGTCTAAATTTGTTAAATAAAGGAATACATTCCAAATTAATGAATAATTTTATAATGTGTTTGAATGATATTTTATACACACATTTTAATCCTGACTAAAATGTGTAAACTGTTTCGCTTAAAAATAATACAACATGCTTGATAAATTTTAATTAATTGTGTTTAAATCAATGTAATTTCAACTCTTTTTTAAGTTGAAATTAGAAGTTAATAACTTATATCATTATTTTTTTAAGAAAAATAAATTTATATCATTTATTACAAATTATTACCCAAAAAAAGGTTTATCAATCAATATCTGAAAAATAATGTTTATTAAACTAATAAATAAACAATTATAGCAATAAAATGTTTGTTAATGATATTTTTTAATGAATATCTTACAAAATTTTAACATTTACTTTATCTAGATCGAACAGCACAAAAATCAATAATCATCTAGAAGTAAGGTCAGAAAAGTGTTGGTCAAAAGCTGAAATATCATGAAATTAAACGTCGTTGACGCACTATGTAGATACACTTGTACTTTGTAAATGCAATACCAGTTTACCGTAAACATGCCACATATCCTGGAGTGATATCTTTTTTTCACGTCTTTTTTTTTTCTTATATTTTATTTGAAGATTGCTATTGGATAACGAATTAAGTCTTAATACAATTCCCAGTGGCAAATTTTCTCGAGGACGGTAGGAGATATGCCCCCCATAATTTTTTTAAATAGATATATAATTTTCATATATAATTATCTTAATAAAATTATATTATAATATACAAAAAAATATTATGTGTTTTAATTTCTCAAAATATTTGATCGAGTTTTGCCATTAATAACAGCCACGTATAATCTATCGATTTATATCCATATCTTCAGCATTAAAAAGTATTTTTTGTCATTTTATTAATTTTTTTTTTTTACACTTTTTATCTCGTTTTTAAACATTTTCTTCTCTCTCTTTTTTTTTCTTTTCTCCATACTCGTTTTTATATTTTATAGAATAGTTTGAACCAATCATTTTCGCTGAACTAAATACGCAGTCTTTGATTTCAAAGTCAAATACTATAATGCATGCATGGCTGACGACTGTTTGCAGCGCTTGAAATGGTACGGCGTAATGTAAGTTTCCGAAATTACAAATAAAACAGTAGAAGCCGTAATTAAGAATGACTCTTATTTGAAAAAAAAAAATTATATATATATATATATATATAACAAGATATTCTTATACTGATATAAGTTAAAAAAATTATTATGTTAATTAATTAATAAACTTAGATATTTATGTTAATTAATAATTTTTTATAATATATCTGAAAATATATTATTTATTAAAATAAAATAATATGATAAAGTATTTAGTAAATTTTTATATGTATAAATTTTGGTAAAATTAATTTATTCAATCAAAATTTTCAAACGTTATCTTTTTTTATTTTATAAAAAGTTATTAGTTGATGTAAGTGTTTAAAATAATATTAATTTATTTTTAAATTTGTAATTTTATTAATGATATATTAATTAACGAGTTGTATTATAAAAAATATTCTGATATTACTCATTGTAATTTATGGTGCAGTGTCATTTTCGAAACGAAGAGGAGAAATATTTTGAAAAGAAATTGACACCATTCCCCTGTGAACTACATACATGTATACATCTGAAGGGTAGATGCTCTTCATGTCGTCATGAAAGGATAACTATGAAAAATATTTGTACGTACCGAAAATCCCAAAATTGTTTTCGATAGGCGTATGGTGTTGAAAATCATTTCTACCAAATTGTTGGATATATCAATTGGACATCTTAACCAAATTGACCATTCATTATTAAGTGATAATTTCATTATTATGTGATCGAAGACTCAGGAAAAGTTTGTCTAAGCCACTTTCCAAATTTTACAAACATATAGCACTTGAAAGTTTGATTCATGACTAAAGAGGTTGGTGTAATTTAACTTGTACCCTTGTTAAATCCCAAATGGCTTATTAAATTCACGAGTTGTCTTCTTGTGTTGGCATATAGATGGGAAAGAATGTTTGGGGTGCATGAAATGGGAAATGATGCTGAAACTTTTTAAGTTCTCTCTCTTTCATTTTCATTTTTTGATATAGACATAAAATAAATCAAGAGATTAATTTGTAAAGAAGGATCGTCGACTCAACTTCAAGTAACATTCGTTAAATGAAGGGTCTAAAATGTTAGGACCATAGGCATGTATCTTTTGTCAAATATAATTGTAGCTCGTACCTTTTTATTTTTCAAAATGCTATTCGAAGGACAAAGATACCTAGAAGCTAGATTCATTTAATTGTAATACAATGCTACTATCAGACAACTTTTGCATGGTAGCTACAACCACCTCTCTTGAAATAGAATTCTCTGGAGAAACTGAATGGAAATTGCAAAGGCTACTTAATTCCAACCTTAATGGAAATTCTGCATTTCATTGAGTACTTGATCGAATTTTTCTTTTTTTCTTTTCTGCTTTATTTTGTCTGTATCCGTAAGTGCCTGAATTCCGATCCCTTGAACAAGTATATAACTCAAGCACGCCATGAACTGCATTAAGGTCATCTAAAAAAATTATGTATATATTTTTAAGAATTTTAACCCTTTATAACCACATGTATTTATTATTCTTATTTTCACAACAATTAAATCTTATTCTGTCGTTTTTTTCTCCTCTTTTCCACCCTTCCACTTATACAAAAACTTGTTAAAAAAATCTCAACAATTTAATATGCTAATAATATTAAATGCTATAAATTTAATAAAAATATTATTTATTAACTTTTTATATTGTAAACTCTACCTATACATACAAATAGCAAGAGGGGAGGAAGAAACTCAAGTGTATATATATATATATATATATATATATATATATGTGCGCGCGCGCGCGTATAAATTCTCGTATATGTGTAGATATATACTTAGACAGACAGACATATCATACACAAGGATACTTCTTTCCATGCACATGAAATAAATAATGTTAAGTCTTGCGGTCATCCTCATCTATCCTTGAACTGGTAACATTATTTGGTCTTAAACTATCTTGCACTATATACCGGTAACATTCTTGGCAAGTGCAAGAAGTATTAACAATTAAGGTCTATATCCATGTCCCATGTCTTCACGGACTCAGAAATCGGTGCAGGTTTGTCTTCCACAACACAAATCATAGGCGAAGGTAAAGCAATAGTTAGGTCAAGATTCAAAGGGGGTGACGAAATAATTGTTGTTTCTTCTTCAAGACACTTTGTGAACGAAATCCTATCAGCGGCAGCACCACGGGATATGTAGAAAGAGACTTTATTCTCTTTGTTCATGGACTCAGATAATGATGCATCCGAAGAAACAGCAAGAGCATGAGAACGTGGTAAGCTTAGGTGTAGCTTATGGTTATTTGGATCAATTCCCATCTTTAGTAGTTTTCTGCGTATGTGAGAATTCCAATAGTTCTTTACCTCGTTGTCTGTTCGTCCAGGCAATCTTCCAGCTATGAGTGACCACCTGAATTAAGTTAAATTCATTAACAAAAGATTGTTTAACAATAATAGGATTTGATTTTTTATATATATTGATAAGTAACATGATATGATCATATTAAAAAAAATATTTTTATCAAAGACAAATTTACTCTACGTGAATAACTTTAAAGTATTAATTAAAAAACGTTATATATATTTTATAAATACTTATATGTTATTTATTAAATAATTTAATTGCTTTTCATATAATAATTATTTTTTAAAATTTTGAATCTCAATTTTCTTACCTAACATGCGCAGGGAGAAATTATCATCATTTACCAATGATATATAAGAACAAATGGCTGAGTGAGAGGTTGAGAAAGAATGTATAACTAAAGTACTTATACTACCTGTTGCCAAGGAGGGCATGGAGTTTGATGATAAGGTCTTCTTCATCTTCAGCAAAGATTCCGCGTTTGATGTCTGGTCGTAAGTAGTTTAACCATCTTAGCCTACAGCTTTTGCCACAACGTAGCAAGCCTAATATATTGAATGATGCATAATGGGTTATGATACAGTGATACACCCATAAGTTGAATCAGAAACATTTAGATAACTTTGCTAAATATTTATTCAATAAACTCTTATTTATGTAAGAAATTTATACTATAATTTGATCATAACTGAAAAAGAATTTATCGGATAAGTTACATAAAATTTTTCAAAATAAATTTTTAAAAATCATAAGCATCATAAGTTATTTATATAAACCCTCATAATTTTTCTCAAACTCACTCTTAAAAGTTTTGGCCTCTTAATTGATTGGGTGTAGTGTAATCTAGCTGGGGAACGGAATTGTAAGAAGAACAAAATGCAATATGAGATACATAATTAACTAACCAGCAGCCTTGGGAATGGAACGCCAACAACCTTCACCATGAACTCGGATGTAATCAATGAGTTTTTTATCTTCTTGCTTGGACCAAGCACCTTTGTTGATGCTTTCTTTGTCACAACAAGGTTTTCTCATTGTTATTATTGTTCTCTGATCTACGTGGGTGTGGGTGTTTGTAGCATACAAAAGGCTAAAAGATATATCCACAGAGAGAGAGAATGAAAGCCTTGGCACAAATGGCACAGGATAGGTTAGATAGATATCTATTTGTCAAGGACTAGGGATGAAGAGAGGGAGATGGATTGACTTGACTGGTGGTTTTGGCTCTGTTTTCGTAATTGGTCACTGTGTATATATATGATATCTATTCTCTGTTATTTTTATATTTTGGTAGGACTATATTGTATTTGCCCTTAGGTGCTCTTGTTCTTCCATTGCTTACTGTTAAGTAAAGGTCGTTGTCAAGTGTACAAAAACATTTGTACACGATCTTGAGATGGTGGTTGTTGGGGTAGTTCACAAATTTCGAGGGGATCAATGAACATGGTGTCTAGAGTGTTTCGGAGTCAAACTATAATTGTTTTTCTTTGGAGAAAATAACGCATGATACTCCAAATTTAGAAGTAGTAAAGGAAAGTGAGGATATCAGGGAAATCAACCTGTCAAGACCAACTTCTGCAGGTACTTATTAGCATGCACGTTATGAATAGAGAGAGAGAGAGAGAGAGAGAGGAGGTATTCTCATTCGGAAACGTTTCTTTTGCATCCCATTAAATTGAGTTAAATGGACTTGAAATTGGAAAACAAGAATATGAGATGTGGTAAATGATACATAGAAATGAAAGAGATAGATGGGGAAAAAAAGTACAATAAAAAATAGATAAAAGAGAAAGTAGGTGTAGTTGTGATTTATTTTTTTTACACTTATTTTAAGGAATGTTATTTTTGTATAGGAAGAAAAAAAGGGTGGTTAAATAGAAGATATATATGGCATAAATAAATAAAAATAAACTTGTTATTATCTTTGAACTGTCTTCACAAAACTTAGGTTTTTTTAGTTCTCATGTCTTTTTACCCATATTTTTTATTCTTTTATCACATCATTAATCATATCTCTTTTATTTCATTTTCTTCTTTCTTATATGCTTTTCCTCAACTCACTTTACACTTAAAATATAGACGTGTCAAACTTTTTTTTTTTCTTTATCTTTGTGGCATCTATATTCTCTATTAGAAAAATGAGCATTTAGTTAAAAAAAAATTAAATAGTTTGGGGTAGGAAACGAATCACATGAATGAATCTGTGGCCATGTTAATTATAGGAGTTCAAGGGAACATAATTAAAACAAAAATTAAAGAAGATCTCAGGGAGATTTTTTCTTTTATCTGAATTTTCTGCTCCTAAAATTTAAACAAACAGTGACCTTTTCAGGCCTCTCTATCACTAGACACAACACTCAATATGGCTTATTCTTCTCCCAACTTGAAACGCTTCTTCCAATCGACATCCTATAGAAAGAGCTCTCTGGATTTGATTCTTAATAATATATATATATATATATATATATATATATATATATATATATATATATATATATATTGTATTAAAATTATAAAAATAAAAAATATCTCCTTTTATAAAAATTTATCCTTACTAATTACTTATACTTAGCCTCTAAAGTTGAGGTTAACGTTTTCCTTCTATATTACATGGAGTGATATTTTCTTACACTAATGTAAATTTAAAAACTTTTAAACTTAATTTGATTCTTTTATTTAACTTACATTTAACGGATTATAATTTATTACTTCATTGACCATTAGATGTAAGTTAAATAAAAGATTAATATCGAATATAAAATTTTTTAAATTTATACTGTGTGAGAAAATTCAACCCTATATTATATATTATTAAATTTTGTTAACCTCAGTTCTGATGGCTGAATTTAAATATTCACAAATAGAATATTTTTAAAAAAAATATACAATTAATGTATTAAAATTATAAAAGTACAATAAATATTTATCTTTTTAATAAAATTTTATTATTATTAGCTGCTTATCAGAGAGTTGAGGTTAATAAAACTCTATATTATTTTTACCCGTCAAAAGGATGATTAACATATATAATTAAAGTAAATGAGGACTATATGATATTCACAGTTAATTTTTCTCCTACGCACGCGGTGATTTACTAATATACATATACCTATTTACAAAAAGGTTATTTTAGCAAATTCCAAATATGGACATGTTTTACGGAAATAATATTTTATTAGGTTGTCTAAAATCCTCGAAATTACCTATATGAAGTCTTCTAGTCAAGTTTTAAAGATGGGGAGAAGTAGCTATGTCCAAATTATTACCATGCTAAATTTACAAATCGCAGTATTATGGAGAGTAAGACCAAAAAAGCTTATTAAAATTTATTTAATTTTATCATATCGCTTAATAAATATCATTACATATAGGTTATGGTTCTTATAAAATTTTGCAATACAATTATAGTATAAAAAAATTTATATCAAGAAAATAAATTAATTGTGTCCTATAGTACATAATTTCTTTTTTACTTCAAATAATAATTTTATGGTTCAATCTCACGTGAGATTATAATGTTGATAATGATATGTACATGTATTTTAGCGTTGGAAGCATTTCTTTTTAGTTATATTAATAGTTATGATTAAAATTACTCTTTCAAATTAGCAAATTTATACTATTGAGCACATAGATTATCTGACATAAAATTGTTTCTTTTTAATTTATGACTTTGAATTTAAATCTTAGTGAATATAACTATATGATTATTTTAATATGTAAAGTTTATGGTTTGTAAGCATCTTCCAAATTCTGAAACTTAATTTATTATTTTTTTCTAACCAACACTACATTTAAAATTATCTTGCATATTTATCATGATATAAAATGATTATTTATTTTTTGAATATGTAAAATGATAATTGTTTAAGATATTAAATTTTTCAATAATACAACAAAATAATTTATTTTTAATTATATTTTATGTATTTAACCTCTTGTTTACGGTAAAAAAATGACAGTTTGTAAACAAATAAATTCAAGAACAATCTAAGGACTGAATTTAGGTTCTCTTAAATTCTTTTAAGTGTGTTGTTTAATGTAATGTTCAAATTGATGTTGTAAAACAGAGTATTAAATAGGAATAAGAAATGATAATCACACAGAACTTAATCAAACATAGAGATTTTTATAGAAATGTGCTAAACAAGAGCCAAATTGAAAAAATGGACATAAGCAAACTAAACTAAAACAAGTGCAAAAACGTAAAATATGCAGAAATATAAATAACAAAAGAAAATAAACATACGACTCCTAACAATGAATAACAACAGCTATATATCTCCTTGTAGCTGGTGTCTGGCGCAGTGCAGGATTTCAGCGTTCAGAGAATTTTAGATGTGGTGTTTGGGTGCAAAAATTGTCCTCTGAAAAGTGAAGCTTTGAAATATTTATAGGCAGAAGAAACACCGTCGTTCTCCTTCTTTTGTAGGCACTTCTTAGTAACTGTCTTTAACTGTTGTTTATTATCCGTGACTGACTTTAATTGTGTTGTCGGTTGTGGTTTCTTTCATAATTACTGTCGCCCACAATCCTACTTCGTGTTATTGAACCTTTGTCTAGCGGTAACTACAGATAACCACTAGTAACTGCTTCTGTGCTTTGTAATAGTTCTTGAGTCCTTTCATGTCTCTTATGAATTTAGAATCTTTTCTTTTATTTCTCTTTTTTTTTTATTAGTTTTTGAGAGAAATCTAGGAGGCTCATATTATGAACTTAAAATAGTTTTCCCCTCGATTTCTATTTTTCGACTAATTTTAGGGAATTTGAGAGCTATTTTTGGTCTCGTAGACTTAGAATATTTCATCTGCTCATTCGAGCAATTTTAGAGGAAATCTAGAGCTCAACCAAGTTTGTGGACTTGAAATATTTTCCTACCACTTCTTATTTTTTGAGCAACTTGGATGTCATAGACTTGAAAAATTTTTGGAGAACCTCCAGTCTTATGAACTTAAAATATTTTTCTATCAGTGTTTTTTTTTTAGAAGTTTTAGATGCAAGGGACTTGAAAACTCCTCAAAACTTCTAAAAAAAACCTCCAGTCTTATGGAATCAGAATATTTTCCTGTCAATCCTATTTTTGAACATTTTTTGGTGTAAGGGACTCGAAAAAGCCTTCAGTCTTATGGACTCATAATATTTTCCTGTCAGTCCTGTTTTCGAGCAGTTTTGGGTGTAAGGGACTTGAAAAACTCTTCAAAACTCATCGAAAAAAGCCTTTAGTTTTGCGGACTTAGAATGTTGGAGCTCTTTTCATGATTTTTCAAAATTTACTATTTTTAGCATGCAAAGGTGCTTCTTTAAACCCTCAAAACTCTTCGAAAGTATATCTTTCAATGTGATTTTATAACTTAGAAATTTTTTCTTACCCCAAACACCTCTACAATAAAATGTCTAATTTCATCGTTAATTCTACACATACTTAAATATATTTTTCTTAAATATGTAATTAAAATTTAATTCGCAATTATATGCATAAGAAATATTACTTCTCACTTTTATGATCACTTATGTCTATTAATATTTAAGTATGTGAGTCTAGTATAATAATAAGAGAGGATATTTGAGCTAAACTTAAGTAATGTTATTGTCTAAAATATCTTCAACAATTTTAGAGTAAAATTACCTTATATTTTTAGTTTGCTGTTATCCAACTAATATGAGATTTTATTTCAGCATTTCTCCTAAGTCCAACTAGCTTTAAGTTAGTTGTGACTTGTATTTTGTTTTTAATCTTTTTATAGTTTGAATTTGTAACTCAAGGCCTTTGGCCTTTATCTCGAGTCTTGTGTATTTTCATTTTCAAATTCTTTATTTGAGAACTCTGGTTCTAACTCAAAGTTTATTAAAACTGAATAAAGAACTTGTTTAAGTTCTTCACTTTCAATAGAGTTAATTTTCTTCTTAACTATACATTTATTAGCACGGTGCCCGAATTTACCTCACTTCTAACAATTTCTTTTAAATTGATTACTATTATTATTTTGTTGTTTAGGAGTATTCTTTTTATATGGTTTTTTTTATAGATATTTCTT